AAGACTGCAGCATCAAAGGAAGAGCAGGGAAGTTTGGAGCCATGTGGTGCAGAATGATGCTACAGCAGGACTTCTCAGGTGGGCACTGGTAAGACATTGGTGAGCCCTGTGGCACAGGCCCAAATCTGGATGCTACCAGCTCCAAAGTTTAGAGATCATCTAGGACGAGTGATAAGTGGTTGGGACTCCAGGTGGCATAGTTTTTCTCCTTCTGTCACCCAGTGAGATCTAAAACAGACAACTGTTTTTAGTACATACATATAATACTTGTTATAACATATTTTGCTTTAAACAAGTAATAGATTCTAGTTTGAAGATGAGTTGTAACAGCAGCAGAGCAAAACAGACTATGCTGCTACCACAGACAAACTAACCACTGAACAGGAAGATGTTACTGTAAGCTCTCAGTAGTACAGAAGTTGTCCATCATACGTCAAAGTTCTTCAGCTGTCATAAATGAACATGAACCCACCTAATGAACATGACCCAACCGGCTTTCTGACTGTTTCAAACCTGCAGTATGTGTGGATCCTTATTTTTCTTCATGGACCTGAAGCATCTGACTCTGACAACTACCTGTCCCTCGACAATATTTGACCTACAGTTATGCAGAAGTAAAGCACAATGTGAACATCAAGCATCTAATCTATAACTAACATCTAGTATGTTTTCTTTCACAAATTGTAATGCAAACACATATCAGAATGTTAAAATATAATTTAAAAGTTTATACCACGTCTGTCTCAAATATTCTAAATAATTTAGCACACTAAATTAGATTTTATTATGATGTTTATGTACTTCATATGTTGTAACTAATGGTTAGCTCGCTAAGCTACGTCTTTTCTTACCTTAATAGCTGTGGATATTTTCTTCATGGAAGAACTTATATCTTTTCTCAAGTTTATTGGTTCGCAAATTCACCGCTGCGATTTCCTGCACATCAGCGAAAGAAAAGGCTTGCACTTTCATAGACTCGCAAAAACAGGAAGTGACCCAGCGCCAGGAGACGCTACTTCTGGTTGTCGTGAAAAAGGTCTAATAGTCATTCAGTGCTTTCAGCACCACCCTCTGGCGGTGAGAAGGGAAGAAATAGAACAAAAGTTACATATGTAACTACAGTTCTATGAATCCCGGCTGACCGCCAGAGCTTCTAATTGGTCATCCGTGTCACACCTGTGACTCCGTTGGTATTACCACTCAAACAGCACATGCGAGAAGGGAACATTTTGTGCTTTCAGCACCGCCATCTGGCGGTCATCTGGATTCATAGAACCGTAGTTACATACGTAACTTTCGTTTTGCTGCCTTGTCAGCTTTTGTTTTTGTTATTTTAATACATTATTTATTTATACTTTAAGCTCCCCAAGTTCTGTCTCCACCTTGGGTACAACCTCACCACAGACCATGATAAGTATGATCTGACCAGCCATACCGTGTGCCTCCCTCCACAAAGCTTTTACCCACCCCATGCTGAGCACACTGTCAGTCAGCACAAACGATAGGGTCAAAATAGGATAACTTTAATTTGTAAGCAACAAAGTCCATGCTCAATAATCCAGGTATACAATCCAACATTTTTCAGTCAGGTCATCTGGACAGTTTTTTTTTTGTGCTGAAACGTTTCGCCTTCGATCCGGAAGGCTTCGTCAGTCAAGGAAACACACAACACAAAACTGATTCTTCCCCCAACAGCTTACTCCAACGTGGAACAAACCAGTTATGTTATGTTGTAAGTGCTACATTTCTGACAGGTAAATGTTGTTGCTGCTTTCTAAAATCAGACCTGGAATAAAGTGCTTCTTTAAGAACAAGTGCAGTTAATGTTTCACACAGATTGGACTGTTTTAACAGTTCATAACAATATAGAAAATGGAAAACTGTATTACTATTTGTTTGGTTGTTTTTCATTTATTTGGATGTAAACTGAATTTAAATGGTAGTTATGAGGGCTGGGCCATATCATATTGTTCACGATAATACCTGTAAAACAAAGCTTGCCCAGGCAAATAAATGATATCATGATATGCTAATTTAATGACGTAATACGTCAGGGCGCCCCGCCTCCTTAACAGAACCGAGCGTGCCTAAAGACCACACCAAATTGCGCACCCCACCTTCCACCTGTCGGTACTGGTGTAACGCAAATTAGTTGCGCGCAATACTAGCTAGCTAAAAACAAACAACGAGTGGCTCAGCTGTCTCTCCATCCAGCTCTAAACTGCAGGTACAAACAGCTCAACTGTCTCTCCCTTCCCCCCACTCCCCACTCTGCTCTGGGATGCCAGTGCGGGCTGCATCTTACTCGCTCTAAGCTGCCAGTACAAACGTGCAGCTCAACTGTCTCTTGAGTTCCACAGTCCATGGACCAAGAACAGAGTCAGGTGATCATAGACAGAGGAAAATGAAACACCACAAGCTTCAGGGTCAGCTGATCACCTTGTCACAAGTTCTGGAAGTTATTGCTCATTTAAAGGCAACATATATTTTGTTGTATGTTACATTTATGCTCAACAGTGTAAGGATGGTATCCCTCTGTCAGTCTCGCTGTGTCTGTATTCCCTAGTGTTTCTCAGTAATTACCCCGATCAGCTCCACCCACGTGTCCTCCAGGTGTTTGTAATTTGTCTCATATAGTCTGTGTGTATATAAGCTCTGGTCTGTGTCTCAGTCCTTGTCGGTGCATCGTCTGGTACAGCCCCTGGTTTGTCTCCTGTGTTCCATGTATGCTGCCTCGTCAGCTATTTATTTTTGATTATTAAAGTGATTATTATTTTACGTCCTGGCCTCTACGTCCTGTCTGCACATGGGTTCGTTCTTGTTCATCTCAGCCTGAAAATCCTGACAAACAGATCTTAAGCTTAATTTTATTTAGTTATTTTGGGAAACTTCACTTGCACTTTAGTTTTTGTGGTGGATTTATTTATCTATATATTTTGTGCAAACTTTTTCAATCTAAATAACAGAAGGATCATATAATTTTTTTATTTTTATACTTGGAGACTGAATAATTTACTAAATAAAGTAATTTCAGTAAAATTACCCCTTGTTTTTTTAATTTTATATAATATTGCAAAGCAACATGTTAAGTTAATTTTGTCAAATAAATAACTATGATTTCTTTTTTTTTTTTTATATCACGAAATTTATCGTTATCGTCAGAATGTTCTGAAATATCACAATATTATATTTGAGCCATATCGCCCTGATATAGAAATTATTATTTTAATGCTTTTATGTCAATCTAGACCTA